TTATATTTGTAATATAAAGCATTTCTTACAAATTGATTGATATGACACTATAATTATAATTGTTAATAATAATTGAAAAAAGTACCTATTAATCTTTCGTTAATAAACTTTAATATACAAAATTTATAATGTGAAAGTACATGATAAATACAGATTTTCTAGTTTCTTTATTTTAATGTCATTTTATGATTAAGAATGAATATTTAAATACAAAATAGTTAAAAATGAGAAAAACCTACTCGGTGTATACCAAAGATATAATTGTTAAAATAAATAATATTTTCTTCAATATAGTATAATTTTCAATATTTTAATATTACGACGAATAAGATTCTTAAAATTATAAATAGGTTGGGACAATACATGTTTTCCTCCGAAATCTAATAAAATTACAATTTTGGTAACATAAAATTAATTGAAAACGTACTGGACTCTAAAACTGCCGCCCTGAGAAAAAATAAAAATGTGAATGTGAATGTGAATGTGCTATGTAGTTTGCATCTAATTTTGGCGAATAAAATATTCCGTAACTAAAACCAAACTGTAATTCAAAAGGAAGATCCACGAACGATCCTATTTAATATTACATGGCAAAATATGATCGTCGAACGAAAGCTGTGATCGTCAGAAAGGAAGCATCAAGTTCCAAATTCCTATAGAGGTATTCAACTACGTTACACGAGGAGCACCGATTTCCTGGTCCGAAAGTAATGCAATAACGTTGAAAATGTAAAACATTTTTCTCAATTTCTTCCCTCGCATGATATTCTCTGTGCACGTGTACGATACGTTTCACCGTAAAAATAATGCCGGTAGAACGGTAAACTACAGATACAGGCCATTTCTCTCTGGAAAATAAGCTTCGCGGCGCGCTTCAGTGATCTGCGTGCGTGTTTTTCCGCATGCTGACCCACGACTATGGAAGATGCTCTTTACGATCGATGTCACGGTGACGCGAGCGGAAAAACGCCAGTCTGTACGGGATATCGGGAAATTTCGGTAATCGTCGCCGATAACCTCATTCGAGCGGTTTCCGTTGGCGAAAGCTTCCGCTTGTCGCTAATTTAATCCCAGCATCGAAATTAGATTTTTTGTGGATTCGATTCACGACTGGCCGGCTGCGTTCCAAAAAAAATTAAAAATATTCTAGCTAGATTGCCTTTTTGGTCTTAATTTTTTCTAGTGTCAAGGTTTAGCGTTTAACGAAAGAATCTCGAACTTTATAAAGTTGGAGTTCTATCGCGTTCCTCTTTCTCTTACTTTCTACTTTCTTTGATCGCCAACATCGAAAATTTGCCGAAAATGAAATTATAGGATTGTAGAATTATTAGCATTCTCTTGCCCAATCGAATTAATATTCTCGGCATTTTATAAGTTACAGGTTACAAGATTTCAGTGCTAGTATTATTATATGTTGTTATTATTATTATATAGTATTATTATATATTGTTAATTAATTACATATGTACACGCAATCAGTTAGAAAAGTCAGCATACGTAGAAACATTAACTTTACGAATTTTTTTGGTTTTGATTATGAAATAAAATAAAAATATAAAGTGCAATATTACAAATATTACATATACCTGTTTTATGTAAATGATATTATAGAAATAATAAGCATAACATTATGTTGATATCTTGTAAGCCCTACGTAGACATCAATAATGTTCTGGTATCTTATCGGAGCTGAAAAAATTAAATTGCAATTTCTGATGTAGTTCTATGCCAAAATTTTTTGTGAGTTAAGTGCTTTAAGTTTTGTAATTCTTTTTAGAAATACATTAATAATAATTGTATTGATATGTAAATATAAGTAATTTTGTGACAAAGTAATTTTGTAGATTTTTAGTTTCTCTGGTAAGTCAACTACACGAAATTCGCGATATTATCCTCTACAATGGATAATTGAAAACATTTTAATCAAACACTGCAAAAATTTTTTAAATAAACCGATCATTTCTAACGATTATAAAATTCAACCTACGGTTTCAACTGAGTTGGTAATAAGCTATTATAGATCGATTTTGTAATTGTAAAAAGCTCTACTTGGAATATTCAAAAATATTTTATCATTGATATGAAGCAAAAACATTTTCTAAATTAGTTAGCCTCCGACTTATATGTTTTAATATTGTTTTTATAAAAAATAAAAGGATGGATCAATGGGCGTATACAAAATGTATAGGTCTGTATAAAAGCGAGGTGGATTATTATACGTGTTTGTTTCTTAAAGCGACGAGTGATAAGATTGTAATAGTCAACGTATATTAAAATCATTTTTAATACAAGTACAGAGATAATGTTTGCCGATCGTTATCGTCGCTCGCTTAATGCTACTGTTCAACTCTCGCTCGCTATTCGACCGCATGACTCGCTATAAAGATTCGCTATACTGACTCGCTATACCGACTCGCTATACCGACTCGCTATAATGATTCGCTATACTGGCTCGCTATACTGGCTCGCTATACTGGCTCGCTATACTGACTCGGTATACTGACTCGCTATACTGACTCGCTATACTGACTCGCTATACTGACTCGCTATACTGACTCGCTATACTGACTCGCTATACTGACTCGCTATACTGACTCGCTATACTGACTCGCTATACTGACTCGCTATACTGACTCGCTATACTGACTCGCTATACTGACTCGCTATACTGACTCGCTATACTGACTCGCTATACTGACTCGCTATACTGACTCGCTATACTGACTCGCTATACTGACTCGCTATACTGACTCGCTATACTGACTCGCTATACTGACTCGCTATACTGGCTCGCTATACTGGCTCGCTATACTGACTCGCTATACTGACTCGGTATACTGACTCGCTATACTGATTCGCTATGCTGATTTTCCTAGAGAGCACGTTCGTCTGTTTGTATCGACCGATAGGTATTATAAAATGTTCGAATGTAACTCCAGTTGACGATTACAAATAATGGCGATAATATTTTGTCCGAGTTTGTTTACTTTTGAACCTAGCAAACCAAAACAACGTTGACGCAACAATGTAAGTCACTCCCGATTCGAATCTTCCGTTGACTCATTCGCTGCTCAAAACATTGCACTTACGCGCGTCCAGCGATAACCACTTAATTGTGTATGAAAGTTTAATTGTAAATGTCATATTGTTTTAACTAGATATGGAGCTAGCACGTGGTGTATAGTGTCACATCCCGCGCTGCGCACGCGCCTTAACGTAGACTAAAACTACCAATAGCGCGAGTGAGCGCTCCAATTTGAAATTTAAATAAATTTTAACAATTTGTATAGAAACCAAATTCGAGCCTCACAACCCCCACGGAATAATCCGTCACATGACGACCCCTCCACGGTAGACCTAAATATAAATAAGCGTAGCGACATAGAAGATAGAAAAATAATTCCTTAGTTCAAAGTAGTTGATTCCTCAGTTTTGTGTGATTAGTTCCTCAGTTCTTGGTGATTAATTCCTTGGTTCTTAGCGATCAGTTCCTCATTTCTTGGCAAGTAATTTCTTTGCTCATAGCGATTAGTTCTCAATTCCTTTAGCTCTTAATTTCTCAGTTCTTTTGCCTTTCAATCCTTTAGTTCCTTAGCTTTTCAGCTCTTAGTTCCTTTAGCTCTTAGTTTTTGCTCTCAATTCTTAAGTTCTTTAGTCCTTTAGTTCTTTAGCTTTTAGTTCTTTGTTTCATTCGTTCCCAGTTCTTGTTAGTCTTGTTGGTTTGTATTTGTCAATTTGTAAATTATTGAAAATCTATCAAATTAAAATCTTGTAATTAATAAGAGTGAAAACGTATTGCGAACGATTGTAACTTCGAGTATTTGAAATTTCAACGACAATTCTGTCAATATCCAATTAGAATACGAATAAACATTTTTTTGTGAAGAATATTTGTCTAATAATATAATAGGATTAAGCGAACATTTATTTTCACCAACTTTGATCCTCTCCGGTGCCAGTACTCCTGCGCGTAGCAGGTTAGCCGAAACGTGGAGTTTAATTGCCAATCGCATTAAACAACAGAGGACGCTACAATTTAATCTGAATTCAAAAATTAACGGCAACACAACCAAAACGAGCCAAACAAAACGTAACACCATCTTCCAATTTATTTTATTTCTATTGTGTTCTTGCTTATTTTATTTCTATTCTTCTTCAGTCTCCTTTCTATTACGGTTTTATTCGTTTCAACAAACAGCTGGTTTGGGTGTGTTACAAGTCTTTCTTTATACTTTTTTGCATATCTAGCGATTTCCTCTTTGACTGTTGGAATTGCTACAAAAGTGATCTTAAAATCTTCAATACACCCCTTATCGTTTTGCTATAGACATTTGTAAAGTGCAGTAATATTAGTGATGTAACTTGAAGTTTGTAAAATTGTAAAAACATTTCGCAACAAAATTCTACAAGCCAGATTTTATAACAATTTCACTAATATCCCTTTCACCACGGGCGGCATCTCCGTCGCGGCATTTCCGCTGAACGAACCGCCGCGCCAAAACAGTGCACGGTGCGCGAGAAAGATCTCAGCGGCCACGTTTACTGCTCTCTGACGGTGTTTTCGAAGAAAAAAGCTTTCTTCAAAACAGAGTATTTATAACTTCTTAACACATTCACTTTTAATTAATATTTGGAAACAAATAACATTACAGAATATGATAATATGATATAATATAATGTAATTGTATGATACGAATAGCTTTTAATAATAGTATTGCGTGTGGTATTTTTCGAAATATGGTGTTACACATAGGCCAACATCGCGATTCGCTCCACAGTTTCCATCAATCGATTATAATCGACAACACACTTCAGTTTTTTTAATAATTTTTTGTGTGCGATGATGACGTTTCGTGTCAACCAATTCTTCATTGTGGAAAGAGAACAACATATACACTGCCCTCTTGTTACACCATTTTATTATTAATAAAAGACCTGAGGATGTACAATACTCGTCGTATGTACAATAGGCAGCATCTTACGCAGAGCGACTATAGTCGCCCGTAATACGTCAGTGGCATCTTATGCAGAGCGACTGTAGTCGCCCGTAGTATGTCAGTGACATTTTACGGAAAGCGACTGTAGTCGCCCGTAGTAGCGAAAGGGTTAAAACTTCCCGAATAGTCTGTCTTGGTACGTGCAATTAGCTCCGGCTAGAGCCAACTCGTCTCGATACATCTCGTTCGAGTTCGACCGCGTACAGATTACTTTTGAATTAATTCTACGACTTTGTAGGGTGGATACGGGCAATGGTCTAAGAAGATAGTGGAAAACTGACACTCGAAGTCGTTACTCGAGTGTTGTTCTATCTGTGTACCAATTTCTCTACCAATCTATCGTATTACGGAGGAAAGAATCAAACAAAATGAAAACGCATTCTATTGGATATGACATAATTATATTACTTTCGAAAATAAGTTGTCGATCAAACGCATTGATATGAAGTTAAATAAAGATATTAAAGTTTCTCAAATGTAAAATGTTATAAGTATAAAATACATAGAAAATTTAAATCGAATGAATCGTTTAATACTAACGTTGTTTTGGGTTACAACTTTAGATTGTTATTGCTGTTTCTTGTAATGTTCAGCTAGAGTTACACAAGAAGATTAACTTTTTGTACTAATACGATGATCAAAATCGCCATACATTATCTCTATACATATACATACTTGTTTCAATATATCTTGTTATTACAAATTCATCCACTAGTTTCTTTATCAAACAACCCTACACGTTATTCACCTCAAATAAATTAAAAATTTGTATGTATCAAATCATTATTGTGAGTTTTAATTTAAATTCTCAGCATAAGTTGTAATATATGTATAACTGGATATGGAATAATTCATAAATAGTAAATAAGGATTTCTTTTAAAAATAATGAAAGTAAAAATTATGATGTCAAAAGATTAAAGAAGACTGGTTTTCTCTTACTTTCTTTTCTTAGACCTTTATTATTTTTATTATTTTTTATCCTTTTTCAGCTTTCTTTCGAGAGACACTTCTTCCAGAAAATTAATATCCAAGTTTTTCTCAAATTTCAGTTCATATAAAAATTGTTCATCGATATAATTTGTACGGAATATGCATAATGACTCTTCTGACTCTAAATTTGAAAACAAGTAATAAGAGCAATTTCTTTGATAACAAAGCCATTATTATTTCCTGTTAAAATTCTATCTAAATTATTACTAATCTTTAGTCGTTACTCAAAATTCAAACGATTAAATACAAAATTGCAACGTTAAAATGCAAACATTAAAATGCAACTGCTGTAATCTGTATTTAAATATTTCTATTAAAATTTATTTGTATTCAAACTAAAACTTATAACACTGAATGCAATATCACTAAAACATATTTAATTGTATCACAAGTAGAAAATGTAGTTTTATTCAAAACAGTATCACAAAACATAATTTTAGAATCATTTTCTAATAAAAATCATCATCATCATTTCATCAATCATTTTTATCTTTGCTACTGCCTTATTTTATCGTATCATAAATATACTAAACAAATGAGAAATTAATTGTGTAAATTATTTTACTGAAATAAATATTAGCTTTTAACTTTTATACAAATTTATTCAAACATTGTTGAAACACTTAACCCCTTAACCTACAGTATCGTGTGAGAGACATGGTACGTTGATGTTATTGATTTATTATTCACTTCGAGATAATAAATCTTTTTATTCAAGGATCAATTGCTAGTAACTATCTATCAAACATCTTACAAAATAAAATTAGTTGTACCTTACACATACATTTATACACCAGGGTGCTTGGTAACTGGTGGTACAAGCAGAAAGGGGGCGATACTACGCGAAAAAAGAAGTCGAAAATATAGAACAAAAATTTTTCGTTCGAGGCTTTGTTTTCGAGAAAATCGACTTTGAATTTTCGCTCGGTACGCGTGCACTTTATCACGTCTCGTTATAACGGATTTCACTGTAGATCGTTGTCTCGATGGGAAAATTAAAAAAAAGAAATTAAAAAAATTTTTATTCTATATTTTCGACTTCTTTTTTCGCGTAGAATCACCCTCTTTCCGCTTGTACCAGCAATTACCAACCACCCTGTATATCAAAAGATATGTGCGATTTGCACAACTTCGAGCGCTTAGCCAAACCGTGAAATGACTCGACGTGTGAGCGACTATGTTGTTGCTTATGGCTTGCACTATTGGAACTTCGTAAGGCAAAGGTTAATAGATCTTTTCTATATTTTTCTATATTTTTCTATATTTTTCGATTATGAAAAGAATTTATATTAATCGTAAATTTTTCACCATAATAAAGAATGTTGTAAATAATGAAACAAATTGAATAAGAAATCTTTCTGTCTCTTTCTCTCTCTTTCTCGATACTTGGTCCTCGAAATCTGATAATTGAGTTGAATTACGGTATACGCATGTTGAATTATCCTCACGTAACGTAAAACCCCATGACGTGCTGACGGTACGCCACATCCACCCCGACGCCGCACACAACTGAAACAGAAAAATATTACGGATCAACAGGAATGGTTGAGAATTCCACTATCTCAGTAATGAATTTTGTCTTAATTGGATATTCGATGATACATTTATCGAACGAGTGTTTTTTCACGTTTCCACAGGCTATAGCAGGCGAAATGGGATACGTTTTATGGAAATGCAAAACACCACGGGGACAAGATAATAAAACAACCCCATGTGAGCGGAACGTGTTACGGCAAAAACGATTTATCGCGTATTATCCGTATAAGATTAATTACAGATTAAAAAAGCGAGTCCATTCGCGAATTGGTCAAAACTTTATGGAACAGTTTATATTTACGATAATATTTTAATCGCTTTATCCTCTTTCTTTAAAAAATGGAAACTGGTTATTATAAATTTTTGTTTATCGAAGTCCACATTGTTGAATAGTATAAATGTATTTTTTTCCAAAAATACATACATATCTAGAAAATTGTATTATGAATTCTTACAATCACTTACATAGTCGTTATGGTTTCGCATTTTACAGTACTGTATAATATTTAGAAGCATAGATTTTTTAGACAGCTATAATTATGACATTTAGTTAATTTTTACATTAGAACGCAATTTTATGCACAGTTCCTTTAGATTAAAGATTTTGTCGCTTGTACTACTTTCCCCCTGAGCTCCTTAATTACTTTCCTTGATTTATCAATTACATTATGATCGAAACATTTATATAAATTTCATAATATGCAATGTACCTATATACAGGGTGGTTGGTAACTGGTGGTACACGCGGAAAGGGGGCGATTCTATGCGAAAAAAGAAGTCGAAAATATAGAATAAAAATTTCTTTTTTTTTAATTTTTCCATCGAGACAACGATCTACAGTGAGATCCGTTATAACGAGACGTGATAAGTGCACGCGTACCGAGCGAAAATTCAAAGTCGATTTTCTCGAAAACAAAGCCTCGAACGAAAAATTTTTGTTCTATATTTTCGACTTCTTTTTTCGCGTAGAATCACCGCTTGTACCACTAGTTACCAACCACCTTGTATATATACACGATATATGTAGGAATGATAGAGCGGATGATTGTTATGGCAGGTTGTACTATTATTTTATTGAAACATGACTCATTTTCTAAATAAAAATGTAAGATAGAACAAATTTTAAGCAGGATGCGATAAAGCGTTTTCATTATTTTTTAAATAGCGTATCATTTGTTTGTCCTTCGGTTTTCAATTGTTATATAGTAACATTTATTTTCAACATCCTCTATATTACGCAATGTGGTTAGTTAAAATATTATTACAATGAGGATTTCTCTCGGTAAAAGCTGAAAGGTTAAAGGGGAACAACTTAAATAATCTAATACAAATCGTGCCGCTAACGTTCGCGATAGAAAGATTAAAAAATTGTTAAATGTTTGTTATTACGGAATCCAACTATGAGGAACAGCAAGTAACTCCAACATTGAAACACTCCAACGCTCCAACACTCCAACGCTCCAACACTCAAACGCTAAGATCCCTAATTGATGGACCTTGGTATGTAACCAATGAAACAATACACCGCGACCTCAAGATACCCACAGTCAAAAAGGAAATAGCAAAATATAGCGACAGATATAGCAAAAGAGTCAACAAACACCGAAACCCCCTGGACTACTCACTGGACTACTTGATACGACGGACCAGATTCGCAGGCTGAAGAGGCACTACCCGCTAGACCTAAACGCTAGATTCAATTAGCTATCTAAATTAAGTGATATTTACTTATTTATAACACTTACTTATAAATTATACTTATCTATAATAAGTATTAACTTATTATAAATAATCAGCCATGTCACTGCGCCACGCCAGAAAAGTTACTGAACAGCCATGTCACTGCGCCACGAATCAGCCATGTCACTGCGCCACGCCAGAAAAGTTACTGAAAATTCTCAACGCGAGAATTGATTGTAATTTTAATAAATAAATAAAAAAAAAATATTTGTTATAATATTGTGAATATTATACGTCTAATATTGTAATTCAGAAGAATTTTCGTAATATTTAAAAGTATATATATCTTAATTTTTTTCAAAATTTTCTGCGTCAGTTTAATTCCGAATTTCTCAATTATTTAGGGGCATTGCTTATCCTGTACGAAGAATTGAAGATGAATTATGTACAGCTCTATAGCACGCATTCTAAGTATAGAAAATTAGCTAATTCAAGAGAGAATTAGAGAAATATTATCGAGTATTATTATATGTATAGTATATGTACTTGAGTATATGATTTGAAAGTTATACTGAGGAGAAAATTTTAAAAATTCAAAGAGAGAAAATTAATTAGAAAGGTAAAATTGTATTAGAAGACAGACAAAGCGATCTTCATATTTAAATTCAATTATACGTTTCATATTCGTTTATATTAATGTTACAAAATTCTTCAATTCTCTTAAGTCTTGTCTTGCTTTCATTAATCCTAAAATTGAAGAGAAAATTTGTACGAAGTATGAAAAGGATAATTAAATTTATATACATAGTTGTTATTTTATATGCATTTAATTACAATATTTTTAAATCTATAGATTTTGTACATTACTTGCAAACTGATCTCTTTACATCCAGCATCATTATACTACTTCAATAAGTTATTAATTACCCAAATGATAAATGTACCTTTTTTATTTTTAGTAAAACTGATCTCAAAGTAGAATATATTATGCCTTTTTTACAAAACCCTCCGAAAAAGGTCGTGTCTGAAGAGATTAAATTAATGTTTTTATAATATTTGCGACGTAACTGAAAATATTCGCTTACACAAAATGAATTAAAATAATCTTGACATTTTTCGAGAATGGAATTGTTTTAATTAGCAAAAAATGGGTATATGAAATGTAACAATAATAAATAAATAAAAAATAAAATAAATAATAGTGTATAAAAAATGTAAATGACGATATTTGTAAAAAATTCGTTCTTCTCTCCTTTTGTACGAGATTTATTCAAGT